GACGAAATCTCCTCGTAACCATGGCGAAATGCGTAGATCGTCATGGCTGATTGCCCTTAGCGCACACCGAATTTCCGAAACCGTAGACTTGACTACACGCGATTGTCAATGCTGCTGTCTTTTTCGCACGCCTCCTGTGCGACGACGCAAAACCGAAGTGGATGCGCGTCTGCGACGACTGCATCTGCGGATGACGCGAATCGGTAGCAGATAACACAGGGCGTGCGGCTGGCGCGGAACTGCATTGGTGGGCGCACACTTCGCGCGATAGAAGCGACGACTTGTCGTTCATCTGTAGCTGTCGATCTTCTGCGCGTCTGCTGCATCATTTTCGTGCCCGCGCTTGCTGCATCTTTGTAGGTCTTTCTCCCCATGCTTTGGCAATCATGCCAAGTTTGCTCAAACTTCACCTATGTTGTCATGTGATGCTCCCCATACACTCCAGCCGGCACACGGTAGCAGTCGGAGTTGCCGAACTCCCCAAACTCTGCACTCCACGTATGCAGAAATGTCCACTCCAAGTATGCAGTGTTGTGCACTCCAAGAATGTAGCGCACTCCAAGTATGCAGAGTTGTGCACACCAGGTACGCAGTGCTCCCATGTATATTATCCACTCTTCCCTCGCGGTTGTGCCGTTCATCAGCAGTAACCAGTCGTACGATACCGCTCCAGCACGACGGATGACGACCGGCTGCATCCATTCTGCCTGCTCCCCCTGCCTATTGACAACCCTTGGTGAGTAGGTCTTCCCCTTATGCTTCTTGACTCCATGTCCCACTCCTATGCCACCAGACATACTCCACACCCCACCTCCCGCCACCCATGTGCTTGTAGTGATCCGCGTACACAGCTACAAGCACATGAGTGAGTGTGAACTTAGGTGATGCCATGTTGTGCCGCACCGTTCGAGGTGGCCGCACAGATGAGTACAACACTAGAATCCTTGACTTGATGATTGCCTTGACCAACCAGCAAATTGCAGGTGAGATGCTGCTTGCTTGGCTTGTCCACCTCATTTCCCACATCATCATTTTTTACGCCTTCCAAAATGGAAACACCAGTCACAGATACGCCATCAGCTGTACCTCCGCTTCCTTCAACTGCACTGACTTCATCAGCTACATCAGCTCCAGGTAAGTCTTGTTTTGCATATTCTGCTCCTTCGTCTTCATGTCCTTCAATGGTCGAGAATGCAGGAACCGAATCCACTACGGACCTGTGTCCTCCTCCCCCTGAAGTCCACATTACACATTGGGGTGAGACTTCATCCGTATCAACATCATGTGCCGGATTCCGTACGACGCATGCTTTGTGTGCCATGCGATATGTGACAGACGCATGTGCAGACTGGCCACTCAAGCGCACTCCAGGTGTGCGGGGATCCGTGCTCCCAGGTGCGTCCATGTGCACACCAGGTGTGCGGAAAAGGGTAACCCCTTCACGATTAACCTGATTCGATGACGCATCATTACGCGAATGTCCAGGAGCATGGGCGGATGTAAGTGCATGCGCATATTGCACTACGAGCACTCCATCCACGTTCTTAGCAAGTCCAATCCGCACGTACTCCTCTCCATCTTTCATGGTGACCTCCGCGTCTCCATTAGCAATCGTATTGATGTGCGCTCCCTTTTTCAGCAGTTGACAATAAGAGAGCAGGTTGCTCTTCAGGCCAGGTACGTAAAGGACTTCAGTGTAGCGAACCGTTGTCCCATCAGGTGCCATTGCTCTGATCGTTCCTGTCATCTTGCTGCTCAGCTCGCTCCCATTAGCAAGCTCCACATAAACAGGTTCGTCTAGCTCCCTTAACTCTTCAAACCAGCTCTTGTCCGAAGTCATGTGCTGGCTGCATCCGCTATCCAGCATCCAAGATGACGCTTTAGCTGGCAGTAAGGTAGCTTGTGACGATCCCACCATTGCAATGCACGTAACAGTACGTTGTTTGTCTTCCCCGGCTGCCCCTTGCTGTTTTGATGCATTGTTGTCACGTTTGGGGCTGCAACTCCTTCGTGGGGAGGACGAACGGCTGTCGCTGGTGTGCAGTTTTGCCTTTCCGCGGGTATGCGGTTCCCACCCTGGTGGTATCCACCCAGGGGGTGCCTTGGTACACTTGAAGAAGGGGTGGCCAGGCTCCTTGCAGTACCAACACACGAGAGATGAGCGACTTGCATCTCCATCCCTGCCATGCGTTTTCTCCCCAATTGACCCCTCCTTCCCGTTATTGCCCTTTGCAGTTGGAGAAGGTGAGCAGTCTCCACGTGCTTGTCCAACCATGCGAGGTGGACGCCGGTCACGGTTATCCTTTGAGATGAGATCGTGATATCTCTGCTCCCGAATCATCATCCGCTGCAAAGTGAAGCTGTCCGTCACGTTGTGCAGCATTGCCGAGTGCCTCATCTCCTCCCAATGTGCCGGTAGTCCGGTGAGCAGATTTAAGGTGAATGTGTCCTCATCCACCATCTTTCCCGCCAACGCCAACTTGTCCCGAATCGCCGTTGCGCGGTTCACATACTCCTCCACCCTTTCGGTGTTCCCCATTTTCAGGTTGTCCAACTGCTTCAAGAGAGAGACCTTCGCCACCGAATCTTTGGCCTGGTAAGTGTCCATCAAATACTCCCATGCTTCATAAGCCGGGCTGTAGGATTCCTGGAACATGTCTAGTTGTAGTTGAATCGTGGCGCTCACGCTGTGCAATAGGACCCAAAAGGCGAGTGCCGCACGCTGGGAGTAATCCGCCTGTAGCATTTCCAGCCGCCCCATAGCGTCGTCAATGTCACCATCTCCAATGGTAACCGGATACTGCAGGGTCACAAAGAACTCCCACAGATTCGTGACGCGGGCGTTCATACGAAACCGTAGTGCCCATTCGCGGAAATTTGAGCCATCAAACGGAGTAGTGGTGAATGCTTTGTCCACCGTTGCTCCCACCATTTTGCGTGACAGCCGTTCCTTGTCTTCTTCCGTGTATTCGCGTGGAGCGGGGTCGAAGAGATTAGGCACGGTTGACGGTCGAGGTAGTTGTACCGTGCGCCGCATATCTCCATTCTGTCCACCAAGTTGTCGTTCCAGCACTTCCACTTTATCCCGTCGCATGACACCATTTGACTGCATTCCGTATCCCATCCGCCCCATGCTGTCCACAGAGTGTGCGCTGATTGGTGGACGATGTGCACGTGGAGGGATGATGTTGTCGCCATGAAGGTGAGACCTGGGCATGGGAAGAACTCCTATGGGATGGGAGTTGGTCGCAAGTCGTCGTAGTGGGGGAGCACCAATAGTGTAGGAGGCGAATCCCACACCTTCCACGCCCACTTCACCACTTCTGTCACCCTGATGCCCAATCTGTCCACTTCTCATCCCACCAAACACTGCACTCCGATACTCATCATTCCTCCTCCGTGCTTCCCTTTGCATGGATGATTGAGGTGCGGAATTGGCGATCTCCTCTCCTTGGACGGATGCATCCCTCCATTGGGATGACTCTCCTCCTTGAGGTATGCCCATTTCCCCTTCACCATCAATTCCTGCATGAACATTTGCACGAGTTTGGTTAGTACGTGGAGTGCTTGAATGAGATTGTTCATGGGTGGACGGATTGCTGAACTCATGAGAGAGTTTTGCTCTTGGCTGGATTGTCATTCCAAACTTGTCCCTTAACGAAGCTTGGAGAGTTGGTGGTGCCCTTGCAATCATGCTTTCCAGGTGCTCATGCTGAGCCATGATGGCTTCTTCAAAAGCCGCATATCCAGGATCCACTTCGCCATCGAAGTGCGCCATGAACTTGACAAAACCGTCCACCAAGTGTGCGGTAAACGCGCAGCTGTAACCAACAGCGAACACCAGGTGTACGAAAGCGTAGACCGGGTGTGCGGTACTCCGACTGTATGCAGGTACCTATCCAGACTGTATGCCAGTAAATTCCTGAACCAGTTTTGGCAGCATGCCCCCTAGAGTAGCTCTGATACCATGCTAGAAAGGCATAGTGCCAGCGTAGCGGAAACGTGTTTGTAGAAAAGAACAAGATAGAAATCTTGCATTGATCATTGAAAAGTAGAATGATGACACAATGTGTGCTCAATGATGTGACACAGCAGGGTATATATGCATCCAGCTACCCCTCCAGAATGACCCATTCACACCAATAATGGTGTACCAATAATTGTACCCTCTACCCTCCAATAATGCTGACCTCCAATAATTCTGGCCCCTACAATAATTGTAGGACCTGGAAGCTTATAAAGAGGACTACACTAAAACCAAACAGCACACTGGTATACAGTATTCGTTATACTGTATTCGGATTTCCAACAATAATGAGGTCACCAAGTCGGGGTGGAGTTATAGATATGCCTGCACGGGGGAGGGTTCAATCCGAAGACCTCATCTCTCGGAAGTAACTTTCGACTGCCTAGGCCATTTCTGGATGTTTAGATGGTTGTTTCAACGCTTACCGACAATTTTGATACGGGACTCCCCCCTCAACCCCCCCCCCCCCCCCCCCCTCTCCCCCCCACCAAAAAACGCGTCAGGGCAGGCCTCGGCAGTCATCCTGACGCTACAGAGAAGAACACTACAGCCATTCTGAATGTTCAGGGTATTTCATATAAAAACATCCTGAGGCCTCAGGGTTAAAATTTACACTATTCTGAAATGACAGGGTAAATTTAAAACTACATCCTGAATTCAGGGTAATCAGGATGTTTTGCCCTGATAACGTGGGGCCTGGCCTACAGCATGGACAAATATATATATATATTTATATTTATATATATGTTCCTTCAGATCATGAAGCGTCTTTAACACCGTTGCTCAGTCTATTCCACTAACGCATCACAACCTCTGTTACTAAACTACAAGACCAAGGGAAATTCTCAAACCCCCCATCACCTTCCAAACCCAAACCCTGTTTCCCTATATCCCCTACTTCTTAGCGTCCAAATAGTGCTTTCAATCCACCGAACAGAAATCTGAGAGCGCCACCATTAGAATTGACCTAGTCATGGCTGCCGTTGCAGACGGGCGATTGGTGCCCGAAATTCACGAGCCGATCGAGGCGGATCAAAGTGCCCCAGTCGTCGGGGAAGGCGGGCGAGCGTCGGAGTTGAAAGAGGTGAATATGGGCGACGGCGCGGAGCAGGCGGAGGGCGACGAAGACATAGACGAGGCGGCGGAGGGGGAGGAGGAAGAAGAGGTCGACGCGGAAGAGGGAGACGCGGAAGAGCAGGACGAGGAAGGTTCAGACGACGAAGAGGAGGAGGAGGATGAGGAGGATGAGGAAAGGGACGAGGAGGCGGAAGAGGGCGGTGCGCAGGGCAGCGGCGGTATGTCGAGCGCGCAGCTAGCGGCAGCGGTGGAGCCGTCAGACTATTCGTTCGACGAGGGTAACATGCTCGTCAACGACTCGCGCCCGGTTTCGCACCCCTTCGTCGGCCCGCACCTGTGAGACCACGCGTCGCCCTGTCCCGCTCACATTCTCGCTCCCTCTGCTCTCCGTCGCCACCCATCGTTCTGTCGGCTCGGTTTCTTTTCCAGTCCGCGCATCCTCTGACCGCAGCGCGCGCTTGGCGATGCGGAGCAGCGTTGCCATGGGGAGCAGGGTTTCGGGTATATGTTCTCCTGCAAGTGCAGGGTTTAGGAGTCGAGTTTTATCGTGTCGGACGAACACCCCTGAAGCTGCGAGCACGCTCTCCTCCCTCTCCCCCCTTACTCATCCCCCTTCCTCGTCCCCCTATCTCTTCCCCGCGTCTCCGCGCGCAGCGAGCAGGCGGAGCAGCACGTGCTGGAGATGGCGCAGCAGGCGGTGCAGGCGCTGGCGGCGCGCCTGTTCGCGCTGCCCGCCACGCCGCACAAGATGGGGCGCCTCGTCGACCTGCCGCCGCCCATCACTCCGCTGCCCCGAGAAAAGCCGGTCAGTACCCACACCTCCCCACCACCCCCCTCCTCCCCTCCCAATTCCCTGTCGTCTATTTCCCCCTTCCCTTCCCCCCCTCCCTCCCCGCCCCACACAGCCTGCTTTCCGCAGTCTACCGTCCGTTGCCGTAGAGTGAAACTTGCAAATGTTGTACTCGCGTCAAATCACCTCTCCTCCGTTCCCCCTTTTCCCCGCCTCCCTCTCCGTTCCCCATCCACCCTCTCTCCCCCTCCTCCCCCTCCTTCCCGCTCTCCCCACACCCACGCTCATCTCTACGCGTGCAGCCCCCGCGTGCCCAGGGGCTAACTAAGTGGGAGCGATTCGCGCGGGAGAAAGGTACGTGGGGACGCGGAAAGCTTTTGGCGGGGGCGCAGGGGATAGGGAGGTTCGTGTCGGGATGCGCGGGGCAGGGCGCGCACGAGGGGCGTGGGGGACAGGCATGCGATTTGTCTGAGGGCATCTTGCGTCGCACTCGTTTTTCTTGCTCCAATGCGTGTCCATGCAGCACCCGTGACAGACATCCATCCTTCATGCTGCTGCCTCCTCCTCTTCCTGCCCTTCCTCCCCTCCCCTCCTTCTCTCTCCCCCCCACCCCCCCCCCCTCTCTCCCCTCCCCTCCTCTCCCCCTTCGTCACGCGCCCCTCTCACTTCCCTTTGCGCGCGCGCGCGGGAGAGCAGGCATACAGAAGCGCAAGAGGAGCAAGTTCGTGTTTGAAGAGGCGTCGGGCGAGTGGAAGCCGCGGTACGGTTACAAGCGCGCCAATGACATCAAGGACATCCCCATCCTCGAAGCCAAGTCCTCCGATGGTGCGCGCCCCCCCCCTCCCCCCTCCCCCCTCCCGCCACCGCTTGCTTCACGACTCCCCCTCCCTCCAATTCTCCAGGCTACATCCCTACTCCCCCCACATCCACACATTCTGCGACGTCTCCACCCTTCCCTGATTCTTCCTCCCTCCGCTCCTGTGCGCTTCCCTTCCTGTGCCCTCCATCCCCTCTCTAGCTGTAGGGCTGCTTCTGTCCCTCCCTCACCCTCGTTTTCTTCCCGCACCTCGCTCCTTTTCACTGCTTCACTATATCTCTTTCTGTCTGTGCGCCCCTGTTTGTGTGCGGTGTGCCCCCACCCTCCTCACTCTCTCCCTCTCTCCTCATCTGTTTCCACCCTCCCCTCTCGTTCCGCCTCCCTCCCCGCTCGCTCCCTCTTTTCCCGCTCTCACTTTCTGCCCGTCCTCCTCTTCCCCCCTGTGCAGTGCCGGGAGAGGATCCCTTTGCAAAGCTCAAGGCGGACAAGAAGGCGAGGGTCAAGGCCAACGAGCGCCAGCGCCTCGGCAATCTCAAGGCGTCCGCCAAGCAGCTGCGCCCAGACGCGCTCAGGTCAGTCAGTCTTTGATCTCCTGACGCATACACACACCCCCCTGGTGGTGCTGTGCTGCATTGCATCGTCTATGGCTCACACTGATGCAAGCACGCTGCGTTGGACTCTTCAGCGTCCCCTTGCACCACCCCGTCCATCCCACCTGCTCCCCTCCTTCCCCAGTTCCTCCTTTCCACTCTCTCTCCCGTCCTTCCTGTACCCCACCTCTCCACTCCATCCCTACCCCCCCTCCTCCCCTCCCCTTTCCCAGCCACCTGGCGGTGTCATCAGCATCGCTACCGCTATCAGGCAGGGGGCCAGCAGCACCAAAGGCAAGCAAGGCAGCGGTGGGGGCGGTGGCGTCGCTGGCAGCGGGCAGCACGGCCAGTGGGGGCAAGTTTGACCGGCGCCTGGAGGGGGAGAAGCGAGCCAAGAAAGTCGGCAAGCACAGAAAGGTGCGCTGGATGTTCCTGCCAGATAGGTGCGGTGCACTGCTGCGTGGGGGAAGGGATCAAGGATAGTGGGTGAACGTGTTCTGGTAGAGAGGTTACTAGGTATGGCCCCAGAATTTACTGAGTTTGTAGGATGCGAATGCGAACCCATGAGGCGTCGCTGTGAGGCGAACACACCTGGGTGCCGCGGGTCATCCATGAGGCGGGTGCATGCATGTGTGATTGAGAGATGACCATGCCATGCCATGAACCCTTCCCTCCACCGGTCAAAGACTCACACCATTGCCTCGTTTCCCCTGCTCCCCCTCTTTCAATGGTTTCCCTTTCCGTCTTATCACCCGCTCCCGTCCCCTATCGCGTCCCGTCCGCAGTTCCTGCCAGTGGCAGCGCGGGGAGCGGAGGGGGAGAGGGAGGGCAAGATGATATCGTCAGTGGTGGACAGGGTGGTGAGCCGGCACGCTACAGACATCATGGATGTCAACAAGGTACGCTCATGCCTGCTGCCTGCTCTCAGCCTTCTTGCTGTGACGGCCTGCTTTCGCTCGTCTATTTCTTTTCCGACTCCTTGCATGCCTTTGTGGGTAAAGAGTGGGCAAGGAATGTACGGGGAAGGCATGTGTCTGTGTGTAGCTCTGTCGTGTCCGCTTTCCAGCCTTCATTCCTTGCCTCGCTATCACTCCCGTCCTCTCTATCTCCCTCTCCCCCCCAACACACATACAAACCTTCCCGCCTACTCCTACACACACCTGTACACCTTCCCAGGCGGTGACAGTGCTGCAGGTGGGCGAGGAGAGGAAGCGGAGGGCAGCCAAGTGGAACGCTGCAGCAGCAGACAAGGGCAAGGGTGGCAAGGGCGGTAAGGGCAAGGGCGGAGGGGATTTTGGAGGGGCGGGCAAGGGCAAGAGGAAGGCTGGGGGTGACGACATGCGGAAAAAGAAGGCCAAGAAGTGATGTTCCGTGCGTTTTAAGTGCCGCTGGTTGCATACAGCATAGGCAGCTTGTGGTGCTGGGCTGGGGTGTCTTGCCAACACAATGGTACTGCTGTCATGGCATTGTTGGCCCCTTGGTCCTGCCTCTCCCGCCTGTTTCTCTCTCTGTGATGGTGAGACTAGCCCCCAATGCCATGAGGCCAGCCTGGGGTGTTGGCCTGGCCTGCAATTACTGTACAGCCAGCCCACCGTTTCTCTTGTGTATCTTGGTACGCGTTGGAGTATGAATGGAGCCAGGAACGAGCACACCTTTTTACTCTCCACAACTGAACACCATCATGATTCATGAACCACAGTACCGTAAAAGCAGAGCAGAGCAGCCCCTGGCTTACTGGACCGCAAATGAGGCTGTGATGTGAGCACTACTCGGCATGTTGAGCATGCTGCGATGTGTGAGTAGCTGTGCTGTTTCAAGATCCTGTTTTGAGCAGTGGCGCTGTGCTAGTTATTTGAGCATACCTGGTAGCTTGCATGCAAGTGTTGCTGGAGCCAATCCAACACAGTGCTGCATCTGTAGCTTGCATTTGCTCCCAGCAGATCTGCTTATGGCTCTCAAGGCGGTTTACCGTAGATTTCATTGACTACCGTATTTACATCAACTAAGGACTTCGCATCATCAGCAAGAAGCAATGGCTAGTGCTTGAATCCCAGTGTGCTATTCTATGGCATCTCACCACCACTCTAAGATGCAACATGAAGCCTAGTTCATGCTGGTGCGTTCGAGTGCCTGCCATCAGCAACAACCACAGGCACAGCCGCTTATTTCCGTGTCATTATACCGTAATCCCGTGTGTCTCATCCTTGCCTCCTCTTTTACCCCCACGGGCGCTTCTTATCAGCACATGGCTTGCTTGCATCCGCTCTCCAGCTGCTTCCTACCCGCACTCTCCCGCGAGCCCACATTCACCCACGCGCCGCCGCCGCCCAAATGCCTGCGCACGTCGTCGCCGACGCGCGCCATGTGCTCGAGGAACGGAATCAGCGCGAGGAGCTCCACGTCGCGCGGGTCGTCGATGAACGACGAGATCGGCACGCCATTCGCGGGCTGCCGCGCGTACGACAGCGGCGAGTTGTCCACCAGAAGCACGTCCGCCAGATCGCGTCCGAGAATCGACAGGTCCTTCACGTACCCGCCGCCGCTCTCCATCTGCACGCACGACTCACGGAACAGCCGGTGGTGAATCAGCTCGCCGGTGGGGTCGAGCAGGTCTAGTACGGGGTCCGCGTATCGCGCGAGGCTCGCGGTGAAGACGACGACTTCGAAGATTGGCGCCATGGCGGATAGGAACCGCTCGACGCCGGGCCGCTTGAGGACGAACACGCACGCAGTGCGGCCGTCCATGGTGAGCGGCACGATGAAGTCGGCGTTGGGCGGCTCGGAGAAGGACGAGTGCACGAGCGTCTCGTCGAGATCCAGAACCAGCGTCTTTCGCGCGGCCCTCCCGTTCGACAGCTGCATGTGCGGCTGCAGTGGCGGAAGAAGAGTCCGCGAGGGGGCCGCCGGCGCCGGCGCCGCGCATGGGATGGCGAGCGTGGGAGGCAGCACTCCGAAGCAGAAGAGGCGCGAGTTGTACGAGCTGCTCCGCGTGTGATGCGCTGCCGCGCGAAGAGCGGTCCGATCGCCGTCGTTAGAGCTCGCAGATCCAAGGTGGCTGTCGCTGGACGACGGCGCAACCAGCAGAGGTGTGGAGGTACTAGGAGCAGCCTGGTAGTAGTAGTATGGACGTAGGAGGTTGCAGAGCTTATCCCACACCCGGTTCCTCCCCGCGTTGTTCGCTGCGACGCTCGCCGTGCCGCTCGAGCTGAGTCCAGTTGCATGATGGTCAGTTCCCGCGACGATACTGCTGATGGGGTTGTCCGCCGAAAGGCCGATCTCCACGGGAGCAGCTTCGGCGGGGAGATGAGTGTGCGACGGAGCAACTCGGTCCGTATCCTGCAGCAGAAACGATTCCTGTCCGGCCGTTGGGTGAGCAGTGAAGTCCTCCTCGCGCTCCGAGGAAGATCCTTGGGGAGAGTTGGACGTCACCAGCGTTTTCGAAAGAACAAGTGGTCCCGCCGCCGTCTCGTTGGCCTCTGATCTCTCCGCGCGTAGCAGATCTTCTCCGCTGTTGCTGGATCGTGAAACGGACTCCTCCTCTTCAATAGCTTGTGGGTAGATCAGCGCAAGCGACGAGCGATGGTTCGTGCTGCCTCTGGAGCTGCGCTTGATGCTTTGAAAAATGACTCCTTTGGTAGACGACGGTTTTGTCCTTCGCATGCCTTGATTCGCGTCGTCAAGAAGCGTCGTCGTGCAGCTGTTTGTCCTTCGGATCTTCACTTCCTTGGACGCGGTCGTCGACGCAGGGAACTCCATTTCAGTCATGCTGCTCCTCGCACTGCTGCTACTGCTGCCTCCGCTGCTTCCAGACATGGTTCGTAGAATGCTATTTCTGACGCTGTCGACGGTGGTACTGGATGTGCTACCATCGCTGCTTCTGGAATTCATGGAAGGATCCAGGCAAGAGCCTGGCGGCCATGGCTTGTCGTTCAGCGACCATACTGCAGTAGTAGCCATGGTAGATGCTTTACGGTTAGATTTGCAAAAGCAGCAGAAAGGGAGCACTGAAACGAAGACGGGATGCAGGAACTATCTGCTGAATGCAATGAAGTTATGAGACTGAGCTCAGATGAACTTTTATCCGAAAGAGCAAGCGCGGTGAGCTCAGGATTTCCTGACCAACTCTGCTGACAGTGTGTGACATAGAGAATGGCGGCCACAAGCAGAGCCGGGGAGGGACGGATGCAGGAAGGCGGTGGTGGAATCTCGATGAAGCCTGAATTGGTTGGGAATGCCGAGCCGAGACGCCGCCCCAGTCGAGCCGCGAATGCTCCCTCATGTCATCGAATAGAGGCCGCAAACTCCCGCTGCGCGCAGGTCTCCAGGTGCTTCTCCCGCCCACGACAGCAGAAGGATGTGTCCGCCGAAATCAGAGTGGCTTTCAGCCGTGATAATATTGATGTTGCTTGTAGTGTACTAGACGCAAGCAATTTGCTTTCTCTATTTCAGATATTTCAACCTTTGTAATCAAGCAGATGTAGATGTAGTGTAGTTTTTAACAGTGCATCTGATTCCTAATTCAGTTTTTTTATTGAGAAATCTCCGTCAAAATAATTCTCCTCACAAACCTCTCATCAGATAAGACTGAAAATCACACGACATTCTATATAAAAGAATCATGTTTTTTATCATGTTATGGGCGTAAGTCGGAAAAAAATCTGGAAATATAATATTGTTGCTTACTTGATTCGGTAATGTTTCAGCAGTTTCAATCCAGTTACATAAAACTGACTGTAAGAGGATCTTCCAAAAGTGAATCAACGCAAATGTAGAACGGGGACTCCGCTAAACAGAATATGACTACACTCAACTGTCCCACCTACAGACTTAGGAGAAACTCAAGGGAAAACCAGAGCAGCCAACCAACCTCCAATCTCAGCTTCGCGCGTCGCACTTATGTATCTTCTGCAAGTCTTCATGTTATCCTAGTCTGGAACCTGGATACGTCACCCCAATGACTCCGGTCCTCGTTTCTCGCTCTTTGCTGCTATGCTTTCTCATCAGCCTTTCTCTCTACTGGGTCCCTGCAGTATCGGCGAATTCGCCGAATTTACTTGCACATAGCAACACGCAAGGTCATGCACTTTCTTCTCCACATGAACAAATCAGTAATTCCTCGAACGGCCTTAGAACACCTCGTTCAGCTTACGTTCCAGCGGATATTAAGCATGAAAATTCGTCACATTTTTTTCCAAAAACAGGCAGGACAATCAGGCTTGAAGGGGCTGCTATTCAAGCGAACTCGCCACTAGCAGCAGTACCGCAGTCAGAAGCAGCGTCACCGACCACCGTCTCTTCCCACCCCGTCAGCTCTTCTCCCAGCGATGCACGAGCAACGCCCCCCACCTTTCCCCATTCACCTGCACAGAACACCTCTCTCGCCGCTGCTGCTGCCGCCGCTGGCGACGCCGCGGCGGGTGCTGCAGACGCGGCTCCGTCCGCTGTCGCCGCCGCTGGAGCAGGTGATGACGTGCACGTGCGTAAGAGCGCGGAAGCGGATACGGCGCGAGAAGGAGCAGGTGGGCAGGAGGGAGTGGCGGTAGCCGGCGGTGCTGGTGGAAGCGAGGCGAAGCAGTCGAGCGCAGGGTCAGGGCCGATAGCGACGGGCGCGGACGAGACGCAGGAGCGTGGCTCGGTGGCGGGGAGGGCGGAGAGCAAGGAGGCAGGCGACGGTGAGAAAGGAGAAGAGCGGAGTAGCGAAGGGAAGGACGGGACTGGGAACGCGCAGCAGGGAGCGGGTGCGGAGCAGGGAGCGGGTGCGGAGCAGGGAGGGCACGTGCAACAGGGAGTGGGCTTAGAGAAGTCACCTAGTGGGGATGGTGCACCTGGCGCAGCGGCCATGGCGCCTACTGCAACCGACTCCCCGGCCAACAATTTGAACGGCCACAACCCTACCAACAGCATTCGTGCCAATGGCATTCGCTCCAACAGGACCGAGGGCCCCACGGCTGAGAACAAGGCCGACAAGGCGGAGGCGGACCAAGAGGGCGACGACGACCCTAACTGCCACCACGTGCGCACCCTGCTCACTCCTGCGGAGCAGTGCGCATACGTCTCCACGCACCCTCCCTGCCAGCTGGGCTCCTGGGTGCACTACCTCTCGCTCTACTACTGCCGCTCGCTCTCCCTCACGCGCGGGATCGCAGCGGCGGGCATGGCGGTGTGGCTGGGGGCGCTGTTCTTCATGCTGGGCAACACCGCTGCGGACTTCTTCTGCCCGTCGCTGGAGCAGCTCTCGCACCTGCTGCGCCTGCCGCCCACTGTCGCTGGCGTCACGCTGCTGCCTCTTGGCAACGGCGCACCGGACGTGTTTGCCAGGTGAGCCGGGCTGTAGCAGCCTTTATGGCTTTGCTGTGATGAGGCGCTGTGGTGCTGGAGCAGTCAGTTGATCACCCTCGGCCTGTCACCCTTGTGCGCTGCGCCGCCCTGCCTCAAACCTCTTTTTCCCCCTGTCCTCTCCGTTCCTTTCCTGTCCTCCCCGTTCCTTCCCTGTCCCCCTCTCTCCTACCCTATCCGTCCCTTTCCTCCCCTGCCCCCACATGCCTCCCGCATCCCCTCCGCAGCATAGCGGCATTCGTGGGCACGGGGCAGGGGCAGGTGGGGCTGAACAGCGTGCTGGGCGCCGCCACCTTCGTGTCCTGCGTCGTGGCGGGCGCTGTCTGCATCGTCGCTGCCATGGCTGCTGCTGCCCGAGCCAGGGCTGCAGGCTCGGCAGGGGCGAAGAGGCTCGTGGACGCCACCGTGGTGGACGGCCCCTCGTTCATCCGAGACGTCTGCTTCTTCTTCGCTGCTCTCCTTGTATGCGCCTTACCTCCTCTGCCCCCTCTTTCCTTCCTTCTCCTCCATTGCCCTCCTGTTTCTCTGTCTCTCTCTTCCTCTCCTCCTCCCACTCTCTTGTTCTCTTCCCCCTCCCTTACCTGTGTCTCGTCATTTTGTCATTATTGACGTTCCTTCTCTCACCCTACTCTCCCCCCTCCCACCCACACTTCCCCCGACCTTCTCCCACTGTCTCCAATCCCTCTCTTCGCCCTGGTTGGCACTAGTGCAAGCCCATCTAGCTTCAGCTATTCGTCATCCCAGCAATGGGCTTTGCATCCTAAGGCAGCATCCATGCACCCGTCTGCCCATCCATCCGTGTGCGCCCAGGTGCTGTTTGTGATAGTGTGCATGGGGTCCGTGCACCTCTGGACCGCCCTCCTCTTCTTCTCCATCTACATCGCCTACTGCTGCTGCGTCGCCTCTTTCCAACTCTCCTCCTCCTCCTCCTCCTCCTCCTCCTCCTCCTCCTCCGCTGCTGCTTCCTCTACCAGCACCCACAGCCCTGCCTCTCTCTCCTCCGCCCTCACCGAGCCCGCCAACCTGCAGCAGCCACTGCTGCCTGTCGACCAGTGGGAGTCGGGCGCAGGAACGCGCAGGGGAGCAGGGGACGGGGCGAAGGGGGGAAGGCTTGGCGGAGACGAAGAGGAGGAGATGGAGGGGGGGGATGGGCAGGGAGGAGAGGGCGGGGAAGGCGGTGAGGGTTCAGCGCATGCGCATGCATTACCGCAGTGGATGTGGACGAGAGATGTTCGCATCTTCCAGTTGGAGCCACAGCATGGAGCGGGGCATGGGGTGGCAGGCCGTGCTGCGTTCATGGAGATGGAGGAGGGCGCGGATGGTGATGCTGCTGGGGGGGTGCGGCCGCTGTGGGGATGGGGCTCGGATGATGAAGAGGAGGAGGAAGAAGAGGAAGACGAGGAGGATGTTCTGCATTCGGTTAGTCTGTTTCCTTCTCCATTCTCCTCGTGGGTTCTCTATTGTGTGAGACTTGCTGCGCCTCCATGCTTTCGCAGAGTCCCTCTTAGCTGGATGTATTCGTTCCTCTTATTCCTACTCATTCATCCCTCTCTAACCGCCTCCAAACTCCTGGACATGCGTCATGTGTATCTTTCCCTGGTGATCAACATCACTCCTTTCTCCTCCTCTGCATCCCTTCCGTTCTCCCTCGTGCCAATCTCAGTGGGAGCCCCCATCAGCACCTGTCCTCTCAGCTCAGGGCATCGCCTACTGGTTCTTCTGCCTGCCCGCCATGCTCCCGCGCCTCCTCACCATCCCCCTCCTCCCTCGCGACTCACGCAGCCGAGTCCTCTCCCTCCTTTCCCTCGCCCTCTCCCCTCTCTTCTTCCTCCTCGTACTCCAAGGCTCGTTCCTCTCCCCTCTGCCGCTCTCTCTAGCTGCTGCCTCGGGCGCTTTCCTCTCCCTGCTCGGCCTCCTCGCCTCCTCAGGCCCTTCTGGTGCAAAGCACTTATCAGCAGCAGTTCTCGGGCCAGCATCGCACCACCACCACACCCATCACCACCGCTCTGCATCCCTCCCCATCCCACCGCGTGTGCTGGGGCTACTGTGGGTGGTGCCGGGGTTTGTAATGAGTGTAGTGTGGTTCTACGTGGTGGCAAACGAGCTGGTGGCGCTGCTGGTGTCAGCTGCTATTGTGCTGCGAGTCAGCTCGTCTGTGCTCGGACTCACTCTGCTCGCATGGGGCAATTCTATCGGAGACTTTGTCGCTAATCTCGCTCTGGCGTATGGCGGAGGGGCGATCGGGGGGAGTGGAGGCGGGATTCGAGGGCGGAGTGAGCGGGCGGCAGAGAGAGTGCAGATTGCCTGGTCTGGCTGTTACGCGGGGCCCATGTTTAATACGCTGGTGGGGATCGGCATGTCCCTGGTTCTCACCTCCTGGCATTCCTATCCCCATGCGTTCGTTATCCCTGAAGACCCCACGCTGCCGTATACGTTTGTCTTCCTCCTTTCCGGTTTGCTACTCTCGTTGCTTGTACTTCCTCTCTCCGGCTTCCGCCTCACTCGGCCATTGGGGGTATCTCTTATTTTTGTGTACTTGTCTTTTCTTACTCTAAGGCTGTTGGATGTTGTGGGTGTAGTTACCCTCAAACCATGGTGGTAATCTGCTTGTATTCTCAGTCAGTATATATTGCTTATCTCATGTATCCCTAAATATGTGCCTTAGGGTATGAGAATCGTTGGTGTATTGCGTAATGATAGTTATATTTCGAAAACAAATTCAGCTCGCATTACGAGATGTAACACTTCACGTCCATCCCAACTCTCTCGCGAGCGCAACACCCAAAACCTCTGCGTCAGTGAGACAGATACCTGCCAACCGCGCGCGTTGCGCAACGTTTCCCTCCGCGCCCCGAGCCCCTCGCTCTCTGCACTGCAATCTCGGAGCTTCCCCCCTGTCTCCCCGTGCCCCCGCTCTGCGCCTACCACACCCTTTTCTCTCTACTCCGCCATTTCTCTCTCCTCTTCGCGCTCCTTACCTCCCTCACTTTCCTAGGCCTCGCTGCTTCCCCCTCCCTAAGAATCCCCCTCGCGTCGCTTAGCCGTCGCCACCATGCCGCCCAAAATGGATCCCACGGCCATTGTGGACGTGTTCGTCCGCGTGACGGGCGGCGAGGTCGGCGCGGCCTCGTCGCTGGCGCCTAAGATCGGTCCGCTGGGTCTGTCGCCAAAGAAGATAGGAGAAGATATCGCCAAGGAGACGGCCAAGGAGTGGAAGGGGCTGCGCGTTACCGTCAAGCTGACCGTGCAGAACCGACAGGCTAAGGTGTCCGTCGTTCCTAGCGCCGCGGCTCTGGTCATTAAGGCTCTTAAGGAGCCGGAGCGCGACCGGAAGAAGACGAAGAACATCAAGCACAACGGTAACATCTCCATGGATGACGTCATCGAGGTCGCGCGTGTGATGCGGCCACGATCGATCGCGAAGGAGCTTACCGGCACGGTGAAGGAGATTCTTGGGACGTGCGTGTCGGTGGGATGCACTGTGGACGGCAAGAGCCCTAAGGACGTGCAGCAAGAGATCGACGACGGCGAGATCGAGATTCCCGCCAACTAGATATACCTACCCGGTTACCATGTAACGCGGTTTTGGTGGTGATGGCGATTTTTAACGATGTGGCGATGCCGAGGAAGGCTCTCGTGCTCACTCAGGCCTGCCTCGCTCTAGACCCTGCTCTGTGTCGCTTGCTCTGTCGCATTATGTCCGCCTTAATGCAAACAGTGAAGTTCTTTTTCCCTTTCTTGTCTATCGATTCGTTCTTTTTTTTTCGTTTGTTTACCACGGTTCCCGTTCCTAATTGCCGCTCTTCCCGCGCGCCCGATTACTGGCCGCGTGCGCGCATGGTTCAGGCAGGTGGTATGCGATGCGCTGAGTAGAGTTATGACGGCTGCTTTGTTCCGCGAGCAGGGGTTGTGAGCAGAGCAGCAGCCGTATTAGCCATTGATGATATAATTCTTCTCGCGGCCATTCATTCCGTTCACACCCCTTTCATGCCACCGAGCCCACTGCCTCCAGACCGTCAGGCCTCCTGTCACACCCCTTATCCGCTCTCCCATATACTTTCCTCCTGCCGGCCTCCCTGGAACCTTCGCCGACTCTCCTCCTCCGCCCGTTTCCCCATTCCCACCGCCGTTCCTTCCTCCTCCGTCCCCCCGTTCCCCTTGCGTATCTCTCTGCTTCTCGTCTCTCTCCCTCGTCTGTCCCGCTGCTATCAATCCCGCATTTCTCCCGTTAGTCTCGCTGCCTGCCCTTCTCCCTGCTGCACCGCCGTACTACCTCTCTCCGCATTTTCGTTAATGCCTGCTTTTCCTTGCTGAAGCACGTCCGCCCTCCCCCTTCAACCACCCGTTTTCTTGGGTTCCCACTGCCTCCTTCGTCCACCATACGCCTGCTCGCTGCTCTGTCGCCCCTACAATGTCTCCTTCCCTGTTATCCACCAGCATTTCCTCATCCTTTCCCCCCCCCCCCCCCCCCTCTCTCTCTCTCTCTCTCTCTCTCTCTTTCTCTCTCTCTCTCTCTCTCTCTCTCTCTCTCTCTCTCTCTCTCTCTCTCGCTGTCTCCTTTGCTCCCTCCCACTCGCTCTCTCACTCTCTCTCGCTCTCTATCACTCACTCTTTCTCTCACTCTTCCTCTCTCCCTCCAACCCATCACAACCCTCTCTCTTGTCTTCCCTCTTCTGCTCCTTCCCGGTGCCACACCATACTCTTCCGCTCTTCTCCTCGCTTCATCCCTGCCCTCTGCACTCCTTTCTATCTCCCCAGTTCGTATACCATACCTCCATTCTAGTCCTCCATACACCCCCGCCCCAAGCACCACCAATGCCAACACCTCAACTCAACCTTTCAACCCAACGTTCTCTGCCGGGACTAATGAGTCACACACAAGCTCGCATCACAAGCTCTGCCTTCACTTCACTGTGCACTGAGCAAGCTTGGACGCATCACGAGCTGAAACATTCCAGCAGTCCAGTGCGCAAGCTGTAGTGACTACCATATGTAGTCTTCTGGCAAAGCTGGGGACACTACAGGATGCCATGTATCGAATTGCAATGTTGCACCAAGTATTTTCGCTGCAATAGCCATCATGGACAATGGCGGTGTGTGAGCTTTGAAAAGTAACGCGGATGCCCGTTCTCCGTTCTCCTTAGTTATCACTCGTCGTTTCCAGTACATTCTTCCATTCGCCGCGCTCTTCAACTAGTCGTCCGCTATTGCGCGATTCCCCAACGCCGCCATGCACGCCCTTAGCTCCCTCACCGTAATCCCCGCTTCACGCTTCGCGTTATCGCCATGCCGCGGCGGCGCGTCTCTGCGCGCCGCTCGAAGTCCCCTGGATGCTTGCAGCGGGCCGGCCCCCGCCAGCCGTGCGCGCTGCATGGGGGGCGACGCGCAGAGCGGCGGTGGCGGATCCAGCGGCGCTGAGTCGAGCGCAAAGGCAGGTGAGAGAAGCGACGCAGTGGCCTAGGAATCGGGGGAAGAATGAAAGAGGGCGATTTCGTGACCATTACGAAGTTGTTACTGTGTTTGACAGAATGACGACTCGTCGCTCCTACCCTCGCTCATCCCCTCGCTCATCCCGTAGCTCATTCCGTGTCTCATTTCGCGGCTCATCCTCACCGCGCAGTGGCAGGCGCGCGCACGGCGCGGGGGAGCGGCGGCGCGCAGGTGATGGAGCTGCGAGTGGACGAGATCCGACGGCCGTTGATGCGCACACGATCCAACGACCAGGAGAAAGTGGCGGCGCTGATGGCGAGCATTAAAGAAATTGGGCTGCAAGAGCCGGTGAGCGCGCCACGGCTGTGCGGGCTGTACAAGCTGAGGTGCTCTGATGCTTTGATGCTGCCCTGCCAGAGTTAGTCAAAGATGGGTGTGAGGCAAGCCTGCTTTGATGCAACGCTCTCGCCCCTGTGGCTTGCGTCCCGATCAATCACCCCACCTCCTCACCTTATCGCCTTTGTATTGTGCTCACCCCGCACGTGTCTCTTTTTCGCGTACCTCCGCGCCCACCGTACCGCGATTGCACTGCATGCATGTGTTGCTGCGTGCAGATTGATGTGTTGGAAGTGGAAGGCTTATACTATGGTGAGTCATCTCACACCCATGCATAAACCCTTCCCATGTATATGCCTTTCCTCATGCACACACCATCACCTCATGCCTGCCTGTTCGCACTCGCCTTGACTCCACCCAACCCCTTCCTTCCTTGCCTCCACGCCTCCCATGTGTGCATGCATGCCACTATCCCGCTCCTCGCTCACCCCACCACCTCTGTCAATCTCTTCTACTGCAAGCCGGCCTCCCTTAGCCCATTGCCAACCCATTTGCTCGGTCAGCGCCCCCACCCCCCCTCCCTCCAATGCCTTTGCCTGGCTGCCCCCATTGCGCGCCTGCCCTGACTCCCCACCTGTCTCGGTTGCGCACGTGTCGTGTGTATTGGGTGCGTGGCTCGCCCCATGCCAGGCTTCTCGGGGTGTCACCGCTACGAGGCACACCAGCGCCTGGGACTGCCCACCATCAAGTGCCGCGTGCGACGAGCCAGCAGGGACGTGCTCAGGTGCGTTCTCAGGTGGGGGACCTGGGGCGTTGTAAGGTGCATTCTCAGGTGGGGGAGTAGAGGCGATGTGCATTTCCATCTGCATGCTTCTGCATCTGCATCAGCCACTCTTTGTGCTGACTTAACTGGCAGGAATCAGCAAGACAGACAGTACCCGCTGTGTGCCAAATCACACACTGTGGCCCATGCCCTTCCTCCCCCCTTGCCTTCCCCCCATCTCATCCCACGGCAGAATGCATATGAGGTGATACTCATCATGGACCTCCATGATATTCATACTCGCCATGGTGCTTATCATGGTACTTACGGTACTGGGATTATTGTAGCTTTTTATGACATTGCCATCAGCAGTTACGGTGCCCACTGCCTGCCCACCATGGTGCTCTGCTCATCACACCAGTGCCCCCTCTGTGCCTTGCTTCAGGCACTCTAGGCCATCTGCATCAGTCAGATATGAGGAAGTTGCTTGTTATTATGTCCTGCATACATGAAACACTCCTTGCTTTCTCTCAACTAACCAGCACTTCCCTAAACAGCAGCGACAGCAGAAAGCAACTCCTCATCATCTCCCTTCCTCCGCCTCTCTCCTACAGTAGGCATGCGGCCACACACCACTTGCCATTACCAGATTCCAGCCCACACCCCGCCAGAACAGCCGGCACAGCCGACACCACAGTAGCCGAGCCACCAAAGTCGCACGTCCCTTCGCCCTGCGCTGCCGCCTGGAAATACCTATTCATTGCCACACTCGCCTGCACCGCCACCTGCGTGCTGCTGTTCTGCCCCTCCCAGCACCCAGTGCCGGCCCCATTCAGGTCCCCACACTCCACATGCCCCTCCCCACACGCCCATGCCATGGCGTTCCATGCACTCTCCGCTGCTGCGCCACACGAGGGTGCAGGGATGAAGGAATCCGGTGGGGGGGTCTGTGGGGAGGTGCTGGGAGGGGGCGGTGGGGAGAGGGACGGCGGTGCCGGTGACGGCGTGGGTGCGGGCACTGGCGATGGTGATGGTGAAGGGGTGGGTGGTTTAGGAGATCCCGACGAGGGTTTCAGGTTGAGCGGATACTTTTCAGAACCGTTGGCATAGTTGACTCCCCACGAGTGCTCGAACGCACCGGGCCCCGCGTCCTTGAGATCCTCATCAAACATTGCGAAGACGTATGCGTGGATGGGCACGCCCGGGCGCTTGGGCGTGCCCTGGCCGGACGTGATGTGGTTGATGAGCGCTCCGTTGAACTCTGCTGCGTCTGATAAGGATGCCACGGGGGATCCTGCCGACGGCCACCCCACCTCGCCCACTGGTGCATCAGGGAGGGGCATGGGGAAGGGGATGGGGAAGGAAGCGGAGGATGGGAGGAGGCGAGGAGGGAGGAGAGGAATGCCAGGGGAAGAGGCAGAGGCGTGGGGAAAGAAGAGAAAGGGGACTGGGTGGGTGGGAGGTCATAGATGTTGAGGTAGAGGCGATGCCAAGAGGAGATGCCATGCATGGGTGCGAGAGCGGGCTGGAGACCAGTAGCAAAGGTAGCGTGATGTGTCGCCAAGAGGGGTCTGCTACAAGAGGGTGCGATGTGGGAACATGCGCACATGCGCACATGGGCACATGGGCACATGTGCATACACGCATATGGGAAACTGTGGAAGCGGATGGAAGAGCAGAGCGAAGGCAAGTAGGGGCGGGACGAGAGCTGACCAGTAATGGGGATGTTGGGGAATCCGAGCTTTTCAAAGGCGGCGATAGCGGCGTCGATCATGGCGTCCAGCATGCTGGTGTAGAAGAGCGGCCCGTCGCTGTACCCGCCGCTGGTGGCGCCCTTGAAGAACACGAGGTCGCGCGAGAGCTGCTGCGGCGCCGACTGGTACGCGAAGAAGGGGTAGCAGTTGAGCACCGCGTGCGAGCCTGGAGAGTCCGAGAGATGGGCGGAGAGATGGGCAAGGAGAGAAGCAGGCTACTCAGTGCAACTCGGGATGGCTCCCATATCAATCATGTGTCACGCAGGTGTAGACACATCATGGTGAAACCCATCCCACCCACCCCCATGATCCCATCCTCGAACCCTGCGAACCTGTGCGGTTGAGGAAAGCGAGCAGCTTGGTCATCTCGTCGCGGATGCTGGGGTGCACGTCGGACGCGGACGGCGGGAAGGACGCGGCGAGGAACGTCATGTCCTGTGGGCTCGTCACCTTCACACGCCCGTGCAGCTTGCGCGCCTCCAGCGCCGAGTAAAGCGACTCCATGGCCGGCACTAGAGAGTGGAGCGCGTCGTTCGCGCCCTCGCGCTGCCCCATCACCTCGTTGCCCACCTGCCACGTATGAGAAGGTTTACGAGTGATTTTCCAGATTAAATTTTCAAGACTGTGTCGAGGATCGGTCTTGAAAACGTTAACAGTGTGTTCCGAGCGTGGTGTACCCACGTCATGCATGATCACGCCCGCCACGCGGTCATGGCGCACATGCACGCTCAGGCTGTGCCTGTGCATAGCAGCGCTCCCATGGCTACTCATGGAGATCCCGGTCACGTGATATTCGCGCCCACGCCAAGTATACTTGTCTGATAAGACGATTTCTGAGGCGCCTCAAAAAGGATTTTAATTGCTAGCAACGGAGATCCCGGTGATGTTGCACTTGTCGGCGTGCGGCAAGATACCGTATTCGCGTTTAGTCGCACCCACGCCAAATAAAATGATATGAGGCGCCGCAGAAAGCTTTTCCATGACTACATACGGAGATCTCGGTGATCTTGCACTTGTCGGCGTATGGCATGATATTCGCGTCCACCCACATCAGGGCCGCGGCGCTGCCCGCCGCGAATTCCGCCAGGCGGTCGTTGGGCACCGCCGTCACCACCTCCAGTCCGGACCCTGCGCGAAGGGGAGGAAAGCAGAGCACGGAACGGAGATGGTCTTACGAGCAGGTGAACGAGCACGTGTGAGCGCGCGTGTTAAGAATGGTCGGGTGACTGGAATCAAAGGGATTTAAGACATGAAAGTGGCAGCAGCAACTGAGATGAGTGGACGCGGCGATCACAAAGCGGAGATTGAAGTCAATGGGAGAGGAAGGTGTATCTGGAGATGCCGTTCGAGGAGGCTCACCAGCTAGCGCGGTGAACGTGGGCCCGTCTGGGCGGAAAAGCTTCACCGCGGAGAATCCGCGCGCTTTGATGAGCGACACGGCGCGTGCTGGGTCCATGGGCTGCGACGACAAGTCAAGGCCGAGCGACACGCCCACCCATTGGCCGCTGCTGGCGCTAATTGTCGCGCAGAGAACGCAGATGACGAGGAATAGCCGCAAGCGTCGGGCGGCAGAGAGGTTGAACATGGCGAGTCCGTTACTGTAAGCGTTAGGCTGGAAAGGCTAGAATAGGGAACCCGACGAGCGCGTGCGAGAATGTACAATGAGTTATAGCGAGTCAGTTCCACCAGCAGTGCAAGAAAAGTAAATGATCGTCGTGGGTTGTGCGAGTGAAGGGCTCTGGCTTCACGTTGAGAAATCTCCTGTTATAAATACTAGGATCGCTGGGCTGCGAGGGGCTTGGTTGGGTTTGGTAGCGAAAAACAAAGGTGGAATGGGTTGAAACTGGGTTGAGTTGGGCTTTGAGGGTTTTTCACATTGGGGAGGGAAACTCTGCTGCGCTGACCAGCGTGATCATTGAGGAGCGATGCGCGAGCAGGGTCACAAGCACACGGCACGGCAGCCGTCGGATCTTGGAGCACACGCGGTGCGAAGGCGAGATTTGGTGGACTTTCCGTCGCGGACAAGGCAAACCCCAATGAGTTGGTTGGCCACCATTATTGGTGCTTGGATGCAATTATAGGTCCGATTTTGAGGGGGCTCTGTTCTGTGCCTGGGTGAATCAATATAAACTGCCTCGAGCTCCTGCACAAGCTCAATAATATGCGCACGGTAATCAATTGTCTAGAAGAACCATTCCACCCTGTTGTCACTAATTACGAGCTTTAAGCTCAATAACTTCTCACGTGTTCTGCATGGCCTTGGCAAGAAGCTTGCACGACCATGATTTTCGGAAGATACCCATGTCTGACACGTTGCACAAAATGAAGGCCAATCTTAGACGCACTGGCCAGAAATCACGAGCACACACATGCATCCTTTCATGTACATAGCGTATTGGGGCTTCTAGCCATCAAGAGATACCTGTACAACTCTACCGTACTAATGTGCAGCTGTTGGGTCCAACTCCTGCATGCAGGGGATTTTATGATGAGTACAGTACAGCGGAAGTACAGCAGGAGGCACAGGTGAAGAAGCAGGTGGGTGGGTGCATGCAGGCTGACATGGCTCAGGCATGTGTTGCTGTGGCACGAGACGAAGAAAGAGAGGGAAAGAGGGAGAAGGGCAAGACGAAACAGAGGACTTGGTGGTTCTGTGTGTGCAATGGGAGGTGTGGAAGAGCAGGGAGGGAGGCAAGGCACCTTGGCGATGTCAATCTGCTGGCGGAACTTGGTGTAGGTGGACGGCGGCAAACCACCTCCTTCTAAAGAGCTCTCTAGTCGACGAGCCTCCTGAAAACGTGCAGCAAGGTACGAAACCATGAATACGGGGATATGCAGTTATGTGACGAGCAGCTGCTGCTTCTAGTGAGCATTGATGGGAGAGAACGTGCATTGAAGGGGAGTGAAAAGGGCACCTTTCGCAGAAAGTCTTCCCCGAATGCCATGGCAGCCTTCATGGCCTTGATATACAGCAGACCCACACTGCACATGCACATGGCCAGTTAAGTGCATATGGGGTAGTCACATGCACATTAGAAGCATGCATGACACAGGCCCAGTACATGCCACTCACATATGACACACATCCATAGAGGCTAACTAACCAGCATCACAACCAGTGCAGTGGCACAACAAACCATCAGCAACTCAACACAGCAGCAACCAACCACCTACAGACATGGCTATCCTCACACAACTTCCCCACTCCATGTACCCAGCCGTTCACCCATCACACTCTACCCTCTTAAAATCCCCCTTGTCTATCCTACATTTTCCTCTACCCAGCCACATTCCCACCCTTCCCCTCCCCTTTCCCCCGTTCCTCACTCTTTGTCAGCCGCGCTCATCCCAGCCACGAGTGCTTCAGCCTTTGCAATGGCTGCCTCGCGCTGCTCCCCACTGCTGCCCGCTCGAAACGCCTGCACTACTGCTTGCAGGGCGGGCAGCCGAGGACCACGCTGGGAGGAGGAAAGAGAGAAGGGTGCAGAGGAGAGAGAAGAGGCAGGGAGG